GACCATCCGCGCCCAGTGTTCCCTGCCGGACCTCAACCGCGACCATCCGCGCCCAGTGTTCCCTGCCGGACCTCAACCGCGACCATCCGCGCCCAGTGTTCCCTGCCGGACCTCAACCGCTAGTATCCACGCCAAGTGTTCCCTGCCGGACCTCATGTAGGAAGATATGGGACAAAGAATGTGCAGAAGAAAGTTAGAAAGAATGTCAGAAAGAATGTCAAAGATATGCCAGAAGATATGCCAGAAGATATGCCAGATAGAATGCCAGATAATATGCCAGAAGATATGCCAGGATAGAATGCCAGATAGAATGCCAGAAGATTTGCCAGATAGAATGCCAGAAAATATGCCAGAAGATATGCCAGATAGATATGTCAGAAGATATGCCAGAAGATATGCCAGAAGATATGCCAGAAGATATGTCAGAATATATGCCAGAAGATATGTCAGATAGAATGCCAGAAGATATGTCAGAATATATGCCAGAAGATATGCCAGATAGAATGCCAGAAGATATGTCAGATAGAGTGCCAGAAGATATGCCAGATAGAATGCCAGAAGATTTGCCAGATAGAATGCCAGAAGATATGCCAGAAGCTATGCCAGATCATATGCCAGAAGATATGCCAGATAGAATGTCAAATAGAATGTCAGAAGATATGTCAGATAGAATGCCAGAAGATTTGCCAGTAAGAAAATGTATAAATGTCATGGTGGGGATCACACGAAGTAAAGTAATTTTGTTTTTTCCCTATTAAGGCCCTATTAGTATCCCTTATGATATTCCCACTACATCCCAATGCTTTAAAAAACACATGTTTATCCTGTTTTCTGTGGCTAACTCCCCACTTTGGGGGCGTTAGAAGCCCTATGTGTCATGCCTAAGTTCCTGATTTCCTGGTCATAAATCCCTTGGCGGGTTAGAAATCGCACCCAACGTCCCCACTTCTTCACCAGCTGCGACTTGTGGATCCTCCAAATACCCCAATGATATGGGGGGGTTCCTAAAATGGGGGTATCCAAAAATGGTTGGTTTATAATGGAAAATCCTATTGGAATGGATGATTTGGGGGTACCCCCATTTTAGGATCATTCATATACCAATGGCTTATCAACCACTTAGTCACCATATCCAACCCATTCCGCCAGCTTTGTCTGAGAAAATATGCCCCAACGCTTGATGATAAACTCATCACTTTAGCCACAAAATTGATATTTGGGGGTATACCAAAACTTGGACATAGTTGATATATATCCCATATGATATCTCCATTAATATCCCATCAAATCACCATTGAATATCTCATATCACTCCTAACAAGAAAGAAGGATGATCCTACAACTACTTGGATTTGTTCCCCAAAAACAAAATCCCTGAATCGATTCCTCATTTCTACGGGGTTTCCCAATAAGCCAAATCACCGACTCAGTTGATTTCCCACTAAAACCTTCATTTATAGTGGATTTTCCTATATACGTTTTCCCATTCAATCCCATTTAACCATGATCAACATTGATCAACCATCATAAATGAGTTGACATAGCTATTAATAACTGTGAAGTTCCCATCAAAACGTCCATTTACAGTGGTTTCTCCCATTAAAAAAAAAACACATGAAAAAAACCTGCCGAGCTGCCACCTTCTGCTCTCCAATCTCCGTCCGCAGACCGTCCACCGCCCAACGCAGCAAATCTTCTGTCTCCTGGAAACGTTTCTGTTCCTTCAGTCGCCGCGCCATGTAAAACGCCCACCTGGCGTGGGTTGATGGCAGTTGTTGGTTGAAAAAAGATGCCAGTTTGCATGGTTTGTTCATGGATATGGGTATCTAATCAAGTAGCGTAAGGATCTAGTGGGATATACAGTACTATATATGTATATTGTAAATAATATAATATAATATCATATCATATAATATCATATCATATAATATCATATCATATAATATAATATAATATAATATAAATATAATATAATATAATCTCATATAATATAATATAATATAATTTAAATATAATATAATTTAAATATAATATAATATAATATATAATATATAATATAATATAATATAATATAATATAATATAGATGTATATATGTATATAGGTACTATAACGAACGATGTGGGGTATTTGGGTGTGTCTGAAAATGCGAAGAACAAACCCTAGCACTTTCCTGGTTGCTTGGGTGACTATTATCCTTGCTTTTTTCCTTGTTGGCGCCATCCAGCTAGGACCCTACAGGTCGTAGCCAGGAAACCTTTTTCACCAGCTATCACTTGGGGTATCAACAACTGACTATCATTCCTGGGATGCAATCAACAGTTCACAGTGCCTTTTTTGTTGGGGGATAGTTATCCCCCACGAACCATCACTTCCAGTGACATTGCAGGGAGGTCCTTTTCGTACAACACAATATCGGGCCCACACACTCCGGTCAGTCGGGGGGTCCAAAGTTGGTAATTACTCCATGAATTGTCGGCGAAAACTCAGAAATTCATCTGCCCCTGGACCTCAAAGGTCTCCCTGAGCATCCCGCCGCGTCTCGCGCGCCTGGAAGTGCCGGCTTCCCGAAAGTCCTGCGAGGCGAGGGAGAAGGTGCTGCTGTCGAAGGCAGCTTTCAGCACCTCGAGGTGGCTACATCTGCCAGGAGGTGCAACTCCCATTGCTGCCCCATGTTGGTTTGCGATTTTTCGTGATGTTTTCTGCATAAGTCACCCCATTTTTTCCGGGCATCCCCTTGTTGGAATCAAAAAAACTAAGCATTGACCCATCTCTTGGAGCAACTAAGGCCTTCAGCAGCCCGAGGTGCTGTGAAGTTCACTTGGGAACCGGGTGGAAGGTCACAATGAGCGCGAAAGGCAGCATAGATGGTGTGATTGCGGATTTCAAAGGGCATATCATTCAGGTGAATGACCTACAGTGAGTGCCAACATCAAAGTGGTGATCCATTGATGAATTGGGGTCCCAACAAATGGAATAGCGGAATTTAATATCATATCCCGCTATATAGCAGTAAATATCTCCAGAAGATCAGCATTAAATGGTAATAATCCTAGGACAATCCTATTGCATTGCCTATATATCACCATTTCAGCATGGTGTTGGATCATGTGTTGAGGTTTCTGTATTTACTGGTTAAGCAGCCTGAAACACTCAGCTTTTTCTTGAGCCATGCAACAACGTATTATGAGGATTATAACTATGTACATATACTAGTACTACCTATAAATACCCCCCGCCGCCCGCAACGTAGTGCAGGCAGGAAGACGAGGAGGTAGTACCGGCGGACCTGAGACAAAGACAAGTCAAAAATGTTAACATGTACATAGTATGACTCTAGCTGTCGCAAGAAATTACATGAAGTTCAGCACGATGGCAACTTGCAAAATGGTGCATGGAAAATGAACTATACAATGCACAAAAACCGCACAAACATCAAGACACTCGAATGCAAAATCGGATGCATAACCTTTTGGCGCGGATGCTTTCGGATGCACACAGCATGTTGACATGGCCGGACTCCCGTCACGGCTTTACTGCACGTGAGAACAGAGTCACTCGGACACATCAAGACACGCCTGTGCAAAGCAATGCCCTAAAACAAATGCACATGGCCGGGCTTCCGCCACGGCTAAATTTTCTACTCCTAGCCATGGGGAAGATTGGCAAAAATGTGCTTCAAAGGCAAAATTGGAAGACAAGTTTAATGAGATTGAGCTCAACGACGAATGTAATAGATTTGAATTCAACAAAATTAAAGCTGTTATGTTCATAGCCTTTTACCAATAATCCCGTTCAACTGTGCCATCAGGGAAGGTGATCTCAGTGTACATTGTGCCATCGGCTTCTTCGACAACACGTTCTCTGATCACACCATGGCTCGTGATGGTCTCATGGGTCGTAGCATCAATCACTCTGGTGTTACGCCCAGGGCGGTAATCTTGAGGCGGAGGTCCAGCGGACGAAGATGCACCACCAGAAGGGGGTGGAGATCTCTCACGTTCGCGATCTGCGGCATACCCTCCCGAGTAGCTGCGTCCTTTTCCCTTGCCTTTTCCTTTGGCAGGTCCTTTGACGTAGCTAGTGTCGTGGGTCTTGCCCTTGGGGTCATTCTTCCCTTTTCCCCACCTCCTGTCCTCGTAGCCATAGTTCCACTGGCGCCAGCTATCAGCATAACGCCATTGGTCGGCATACCACCCAGACCTGCGATGGCCGCCACTTTCGTCCCGGGCATATCCCCATTCACCTCTTTGAACACGGCGCGTGTAATGTGCGCCCATGCCGCGGTAAGGGCAGTCCCTCTGCCAGTGGTCTTGGGCCCCACACCGATAGCAACCTTCCTGGGGCTCATCGTATGAGGACATTCTCCAAGTTGTGGCCTCGGGACGATACCTCTCCGTGATCCTCGGGTCGAAGTTCCGGGGTGGGTTGTCAATCAACCCTTCCGTCTTCTTTGGACCCATGGCTGCTGGAAATGTCACGTCACTCGCCTCTGCAATAGGCTCATCAGTGTGGACATTCCAATCCAAGGCACCATGATTATCGGTCCAATTTTGGATCGCGAAGCTGACGAGATCGTCATAGTTTTCCTTGAGCGGCTGTTCATCGAGGATCAGGATGCTGCCAGAGAATCCAAAGATAGTCGGCGCGGGTTCCCCTCGCGCTGGAGCCAGTTTCGAAGTGTAAACTGCGAACTGGGCGAGGCTGAAGAACCTGCCGGAGTGGCACACCATTGCCTCCTTTGACACATCGAGAGGCCTGCTCGTGTCTCTGCTCTGAAACGGCATGAAGATCAGTCTTGTTTTGACGTCTGTGCCTTTGCCCTCTCTTCTGGCTTCGAATGAGCGCCCCACGTCCGGAGAAATGCAACTTCCGAGCCTCTGGAGGAAGTCACAACATGGAGGAGTAAGCTGGGCAATACTGCAATTATACATAAAAAACGGATCATTCTCCATCCTCTCTCTGATGGAAGCGAAGCCAGTCTTCTTGAGCTTTTTGACTTCCTTCTTCGCCCCGTCCTTCATGACGCCGAAATTGGAACGTCCCGCACGGTTCCTCTGGCGTGCCTCAGATCCAGCTCTGTGCTTTCTGGGCTGCACCTGGCTGACTTGGCTGATGGCAAATACGCCATGGATCTCTGCGGCACGGCTTTCCAACCGGCAGACTTCAGTTGCCACTCTGTTATCGCTCCATGCCTCCATGGAAATGTAGCAAGAGGGGCATTTTGCCATGCCGTCCAGCATATTTTGGTCGCATTTCTCACATTTTCGGAAGGGAATGGTCACCTTTTGGGCGGTGACGCAATCATGGTACTTGAGGTCCTCGATCCTCATCTGGGTGATGACACCGGCCTTCCCTCCCGGGTGGCGGCCCTTTCCTTTTCCACGGTTCTTGCCTTTGCCCTTTCCTCGTCCTTCAATGACCTCAGAGTTGGACACCGCCGCATAGTAGGCAAACAGATAGTTCTTCATCTCTTCGGACTCAATGCCTTCTGCAGCCTCCATGTCGCGGATCACACCTGAAAGGGCTTTGGGTTGAACCAATGCAAAGAACTTGCCGGGCTCCACTCCTGTCAAAAATGACGACCACTGCTCCAACAGCATATCCATGCTCTTGCCACGCTTCGACTGGACGAGGGCTTGGACAACACTTTCGTCCTGATCCTTTGACTTCTTGACCCGTTCGTTGTAGCTTTTGCGTCCTGCAGCGTATGCTCTATTCGACCAATAGAACTCCCGTTCGGCCGCATTGTATACGCAGATGATGGCTTCATTGGGGATCCAATCTGGAGTCATGATCGCCTCGTCTGTTCGGAACAGACTGGCCCCCACTTGCATTGCCATCTCCACGTCAATTGCTACATAGAATGGCTTTCCGGCCCGCGTCCCCGCGAGCTTCTTCATGTTGGCATCCCATGGGTGCGTCGCAATGAAGTAGCTGTGGGCACGTCCAGAAGACTTCGGCCACCCTCCCGGGATCAAGCCATGTTGGATGATCTGTGACACAACCCCCTTGTCGCAAGAATGGTAGATGATTCTGGGGAAGTCGTCAAATTCCGGGACGAGATCGGGTCTGAAATTCGCTCTGGGGATGTCACCCGCGTCAACCTTTTCCTTTGTGAAATCCCGATCCAATGTGTACAGGTCACGGATCATGGGAGCAAACTTTCCCTTCTTGAGCACAAAGGCATTGTGTCCTTGGTAGGCTCGGACACGAATCGGCTGCCACGGCACACCCTTCCAGATGGCTTTCTCATTGTCAGGTCGACAGACTTGCAATTGGAATCGTCGGGTGTCGCTGCTGCGGATGACTTGGAGAATTTCCCAATCAACCACGTTCCTGATCTTGTTGTTCAAGTGGTGGCGCAGCTCCTCCCAATCCATTGACAAGTCAGTGAAGTCCATCTCCGGCGATGGATAACCATCAGCAAGTGCGTGACCGCGAAGGTACATCGACATCTTTCCTGAGATTTCTCGGAGACGACCATTGGCGTTGACATTCTTGTACGGGATCCTGCTGTTCAAGTCAGTCGGATCAAGCCATACCGAATCTTCAAGCCTCTCCTTCGCCTGCTCGAGCTTGAGCTTTGCAATATCATCAATCATCTTAGTGGGTGCCTTGGCGGTGTGATGACTCAATGGCATCTTCTTCGCCTCTGGCTTGGGCTTTGCTGACGATGATGCTGCTTTCTCATCACTGGCAGGCCTCCCGGCGAGCTTAGACCCCTCAGCTGTGGTGGTGTTGGCATCGGTGGCAACCGTCTCAGAAGTGGTGAGGTTGCCCTCCGTTTTCTCAACATCAACAACAGGCACAGGGTCCCCCCCGGCAACAGCCTCCTCCGTCTCAGGCGCCTTGGACTCTTCATTCGTGACCTCAACCGCAGGGTGGCCGGTCTCTGGCTCTTCAATCACCATGACATCGTCCAGATTCCCGGCATCGTCCTTGGTCTCGGTCTCGGTCTTGTCGACGTCCATGGCGTCGTCCTGGATCACGATGGCGTCAGCAAACTCATCGACAGGCCCCGCGGTTTCTTCATTGTCTGCCCCATAGTCCACCTCAGTGTGGCTTTCAACATTGTCTTCACGATCAAAGATGTTGTGCACAATGTCGGGGCGGGAGTCGTCGATGGCTTCCCACTCATCAATTCCAGGGATGTTCTCCGTTGCTTCGCTCCGCACCGGAGACCAGTCGGCATCGGCGGCGTCATCAAAATCAGCCTGTAGATGCTCCCTCAATCTGGCCTCTTCCTCATCTGAATCCACGTCGTCCTTGAAGACTGGCACGATGGATTTGAGGTCACTCTCCGTAAACTCAATGGGTTTCGGCGCACCCTCCCGGGTGGCTTCATCCTCGGCGACTTCATTCAGCTCGGCCATGTAGTCCATGAGATGCTCATCAGCAGTCTGGGCTTCCTGGGCGAGAGAAACTGGAAGTGCCGCACGGTTGAGAGCCGCCTGGACTTGGTCCGTCTTGGAGAGTGAGAACTTGAACTGGGCCAGGTTCGGGTATTGATAGACAATCTTCATGCGTTCTTCGGGGTCGTCATCCAGGAATGACGCCTTCTGGCGCAAGATTGGCTCCAATTCTTCGATCTGCATAACGATCAAATGGGCTCGGATCATGGACCTCAAAAACTTTATCATGAGAGTTCGGTTCGATGGGAGGTCCGTCATGTGGAGCTTGTCATACCTCGTGCTGAATGCCGAGGGCATGCACGTCGAAACGCACCTCACTCCCCCAGCAATGAGATGCTCAAAGCACCGACCCATCTCCAGCCCATACGACGGTGGGAGTCCATATGAGTAGGAATCCCCACATCCGAAGACCACAATGTCATAGATCATGGTATGCCTTCGCATCTTGATGATCTCGTCCATTGCGTTGATGACCCTTCGATGCTGCTTCTCAGTAAATTCGGCAGCGACCTTCCGGTCGGCAGGAGTTCGGCTGTACCGTGACTGGTGGATCCATGTGCATCCACGATATCCACCCTCACCGTACACGTCATTTCCCGCCCATCCGATAAGGACCAGGGTCGGTATCTGTGGGATGCCCTCCTTCTTGCACGTCTCGGCAATCTCGTCCATGGCTTCCCAGATACCTGTGTGGATGGAACCAAGGCCTTTCCCCCAACGCATTTTCCAATGGACCTTGCGCACACCATTAGGCGGCGACTGTGCAAGGATTTCCCCCAGGCTGATCATCTTTCTCTTCTTGGGATCATCTGGATAGTCAACCAGAGCCGTGGAGGAGTCACCAATCAAAAGCACGTCGACCTCACCTTCCGGTGGGCAGTCCACATGACCAAAGATGGCCTGGGGAACGGTTTCAAACAGCTTGAGGATGCCTGTGTAGGACTTGAAATTCTTCTCGACGTCCGAACAGAGGCATGTGTCGATCACAATGTCAACCGGCTGCTGGCTCCCGCCGAGCGTCTGGATTCCAGAGATGCCATCTTCGTAGGCGACACCCACACAGGAAGTCCTCAGCTCCTTCAAGCGTTCCTCCCATTGAACGATGCGCTGATAGACTGAGACCCTCTCTTCGTCGGGCACCCAGCTTGTCAACGTCTCGGCATTCTCAGGAGGGCCAGCCATCGGGTGAATGCGAACAGCGACGAGCGTGATGTGAGCTTCAAAAGTTGCTGATCGAAAGACCGAGTGAACAAGGTCCGTCATGATGAACGTGTACCTTTCTGTGGCCTTAAGATCCTTGCCTCTCCCTTGAACATGCTCATGCGAGTGGTCACATTGGAACTTCGACATTTCACATCCCAGTGACAACAGGTTTGTGGCAATGGTCCAAGGCTTTTTAATGGGAATTTCGTCTTTGTTTCTTATTCCAACCATGCATCCATGAAAATTGAACGTAATCAGTTGTCTTGAGTTCAGAAACTGTGCAACTTTCCTCAACTTCCAGTATCGACAGTTGCGGGGCCATTCAATTGCAATGAACACTTCTTTCTTGATCAATGACATGAAGTGCAGGAAGGCAGTCCAAAGTCCATGGAAGATTTTTACATGTCTTCTAACTTTGGCCGCTGCTGTGGGGTGTTTAAGGTTTACATAAGACCATGATGTACCCCCCGTGCACGGTATACTAACCCAAACAAGTACTTCACCATCAAATTCATTGACTTGTCGGGCAATCTCCTTCCGAACAACCACATTAAGAAGATCATTCTTTTCAGTGAATTGCAAGACATGGCAACCCTTCGACTCTTCACGGGGTTCACTCAGCTTGGACTCCTCGTGACAACAGACCTCCACCAATAGTCGATTAGGCTTCGGACCGGCTCGGAGTTCCCTCGAGCAGCCAGGTGCCACAGCAGCCTGATTGGGTCCGGTGGTCTTAGGCTCGCTTTTCTTTGGTCCCTTGGGGATGACATGGACGTGAGACAACAAAGCCAGTGCAAACTTCCATTTCTCGGAATTGGTGAATGGCTTAGTTAAGATGTCTGCGGCCTGCATCATGGAGGGGCCATGGACGAGTTTGTACCACCTTCTTTTAAACTGCTCACTTAACCAAGATAAATTAACCCGTTGAGTCTTGTCGGTATGCCTGAATGTTGGGGACTTGCCATTTTCCAAGATCTTGATTGTTGCCTGATTGTCTTCAACAAAAACTCCTTCAAGGCTCTTTGGAGGAAAAAGGGTAATCATGTTTTCTCCCATTCTTTCCATTCCAATGAATTCCCAATCTGTGCGTGCTTCTCTGAGCTCGTGGGACTCCACATTGTAGTCCACCTCGTACGGACCGTAGACCCTGAAGTAGGTCTTGCCCTCCCAGATGTCTCCCGATGTAGAACTCCGATTCCGTCTCCAATGGTCCTGACGGAAATCGATGCCATCCTTGGTGACCATCAACGTAGTCCTTGCGTTGCCAAGGCGGTGAACCGGCAACGGGATCGTCTTGCTGGATGTTGGGTCAAATAGGGATGATCTACTTTTGGGATGCACTCTCACCAGGATACGTCTATGTCTTATGAACTCCCAGTACTCCCCATCCTTTTCTTTTTGGGTAGTTATTGAAGTGTTCGGCAATCCTCCCGGAGTGCTATGCTTCTTGGCCTCATCTCCCCCCGCGTTCTGGAGGTACGCCCATAAACCGGAGGAAGGTAGACCTACAGCACGCAGGGATATGTTTGCTGCAACTACTTCAGATTCAGTACTGGACATTGACACAGAAGTTTGTTTCTTTGAGAATGCAGTTAATGGGAAGTACGTGTTGGGTCCTATTAGTACAAGGAAACATCCTGTGGTACTACGATTGTCGTATTCCCCGGCATGATCTGCGTCGGCGAAACACCACAGACGGCATTTGCATAAAGGATCACCTATGAAAGCCTTCAACTTGACATCTATTGTTGAGTCTATGTAACAGACAAGTCGATGCAAAGCTCGGTCACAGTCGGCTGACCATTTCGTCACTCGTGCCGCTAGGCCTTGAACGGCTCTTAGCAAGTCGTACCTTGCCATTCTAGCTGCAAATAGTATCTTCATTAAGACCCTTGCTGCTATTGGGGCAAGTACTCCTTTCCTTTCGGACTCATCGGCGACTGGTCTAGCTATCCGTTCTTCGTGAAACGGTGTTGCAACCCTTTTCATCGGCTTGGCATCCCTACCAGCTAGTTGAGTGTATCGATCTACACATGATTGCAGGAAGGGCTTCATGTCGTACAACATGACTGTTACAGGCTTAGTCATACATGGTTGGTCTTCGAACAGTTGATCCAGGTATGAGAAGCCTTGTGCTCTGGCTTTCTTTTTGGCTTCACCTTTGTCCCTCTTAATTGATGCCAGCGCTGCCTTCGGATCAGTACAATTCTTTGTGAATAGATAAGTTGCACCTACCCACATGTTGGCATGCTTCTTTCCCTGGGCTAATCTGCCTGATTCATCAACGTATTGATCCCATTCAGGAATGACATCACCTTCCGGTGAGCTGAACATCGCATCGGTATATCGGATGCTTGACAACTCACAATCACGGATGACATCCTCATCAGGCACATAGTAACCCTTACGGGGTTGGCAGTGGTGTCGGATATAAACCCCATGTCCTGGCTCGACTTCCCAAAAGTCTTGCGTCCTGTGCGCTGCAGCGGCGGTTTTCGCGGCTGGGTCAGGCAAGGATTTGTCAAAAAGGTAGGCACATGGGTGATCATCTTTAGAAAGAAGAACATTCTTTTCTTGTATGTGATCGCAACCAAGATATCGATTAACTTGCCCGGGTGTGTCCATGTCAATCTTGGATGCAATGAGTTTCCAGCCCTTTGACATTGACTCTATGGGTCCAGCCATTTTGAAGTCATCCACATATACCACTAACAGAAGCTTAAGTTCGGGATGAAAGAACACCGACGGCCAGCCTTCCGGATCTGGCATTATGAACCCCACTGCTTGGAGCATCGCTTCACAGTGACGCTCCCAAAGACCCCCCGAATCGGGGTGCCCATACAATGCGATTCTTAATAATACCACTGGTCTGATGAATCTTCCTACCCAGTCTTTGGGCCATCTATCACGTGGAATTTCAACCCAAGTTTCAATCCCCTCCATCAACGCTTGAGTATATGCTTGTACTCCATCATTCTGTTCTGCTGTATGGCCCGGTTGAGATCCATATGCATCGACAGCTTTACCTGCTTCCATGGTAGCTGGTGACGATCCTAGTTCTGAAAACAATGCTGTGTCAGAATTTTCGTCCATCACATTGTTACCCTGAAAAACAGTTCTCCCTTTAAATTTCCTAAGCTTGTGGCCTTCAGGGAGTTCACTGCCCTTTTCAACACAGATCTCGAATACCTTGCCAACATGAACCTTTTTGCCTGATTTCTTGGCTTTGTCTGAAACTGTTTTCCATTCGGCTACAGTGTCATATAACCAGGCTGTTTTCTTAACCAGCTTGTTCCATTCAATGTCCAACGCCTCTTGGGCTTTGGGACTGGATCTAATTTCCTTTCGGTTAACTGGCCTGGCTACTAAGGTGTTGATGGCCCTTTCGCCACTTTGAATACTAACCCTGGCTAACTTGACACGATGCCGCTGTTCAGAGTAGGCACAAGTAGGCATGGCAGGTACATCACATTCTTCGTATGCATTGTGGAGTTGATTGATGATACTTGTGACTCCGGGTTTCTTCTTCTCAAGTCTTTTCAATTCGGCCTCGGATCTAGCCTTGAGTTTCTTCTCGGCTTCCTTGGCGGCGATTTTGGCCTGTTCCTCCCGGATGGCTTCACGTCTGGCCTTGATAGACATTGCTTGCCAAACAAAAGGTGGAATATCCTTAGGCTTACTGGACTTGTTATATTTTCTAGCCTTGAATCCCCCCGCATCATAGAAAGTGGGATCGTTCTTTGATATCTTTTCCACCTCGCCGGTCTTTGGGTTAATAACCTCAACAAGATCATCTTCCTCGTCGACAGGGTCAGGGATGACTTCCGGAGGCTTCTCACAAAGTTCAATGGGTTCTTTTGAGAAAATCGTGGTCATTACCTCACACGGGAGTGTCCCCTCTTCTAAATCCCCGTCGGGTGGATCAATGTTTAAATTTGATTCAAGTACATGCCATACTCCATCCAACTTATAACAAGTTGTCCTAAACGGGAATTCTTCTGTTTTGAACTTGCTTGTTGGTTCAATGAAGTTCTCAGAAAATTCTTTGACATTTATGTGAGCATCGGCATATTCATACCAACCTTCTCTATTGTCAACATGTCTGAGAAATCCTAACCATGTTGGATTATAAACGGCACTTGCACTTGACGATTGAGGCATTTCCCCATCTTCGATTTGTTTTACCGTCGGCTCTGGCTCCCGCGCAGGCTTTGCATCTTGATCTGAAAGGTCGCGATCGACCCCGTCGTCATCATCTTGATCATCGGATGCGATGCCCTTGAATTGAGCTGGCCGGTTGGATAGAGGGAAAACGATATCATCTACTCTGTTGATCTTAATCACTCTCATGATTTGTGCGGGTTCATCGAATGCATTGTCAATTAGTTGTTTCAATGATGCAACAAAGAATTCTTCTTTCCACATGAATTCAGGATGAATTGCATACCCCATGAAGATACCTTCACTTGATGTGGCTTCAAACTTGAGTCCATCCTTTACCCGTCGTTTTCTGGGACCATTCCAGTAGTCGATACGACATCCAAACGGGATCAGGGGACCCTTAAAGTTCTCCCCAAAACGAATCTTCCAGGGAGTGTCTGACCCTGTTCGAGACATGACGTTCTGCATCATGCACCAATGGCGTGCAGCATGCGGCCAGTACATGTGATGTAACCCGGCTTGGTGGAGATTGACCCTGGCACCTTCAAGGACTGATCTAATGGATCTTTCGGCAATAGCATTGGACTTCGAAATGTACTCCTTACTAAGCACATGTCTCCATTTGAGATCCTTTAGTGCACTCAAAAGTTCGGGAGCATTGTCACTATACATAATGCCAACTTCGTCGTTGTGTCCTATAAAGTGCTTTAAGGCCAAAACAGCATCCTTGGCCGTTCTCCTACCACTGGGATAGATGTACATGAAATCAGTGGCCACATCCTTCACAACCATTGCAACCTGTTCTCCATCAAGCCCCGCTTCCTCGTCGGTAGCGGCGATTAGAAAGTCGGCAGTGATGTGTTTTGCAAATCTTTCGGCATCAATGTGCTTGGACCCCCCGGATACTCGGGATGGGGGCTTCAACATTTTGGCTTGCTGGCAGGTCTTGCAATATGGATTCTTGGGCAAATGACAAAGTAGATGGCTCTTAGATTTTGCTTCTTCCCTAAGTGCCTGTTCACCTTGACTCCGTTTTGATGAAAAGTCCACAACAAAGGCCTCTCCTTCCGGAGGACTAGATGAATCTTTGCCCTCTTCTTTCTTCTTGCCCGAAACATCCACATACGCAACGTCAGGTCTGGAACTATCTGGTCTAGGCGTTCCCTTCGGGGGATCAGATGAAGCCAATTCTTCCATCTCAGCTACAAACCCATCTATATCGAGAGGAGACTCATCCCTTTCAATGTGGACAATAAACTCCCCTGGATCCCTTTCAGGCTCCACGTCGGCGACCGGCACGGCCTCCCGGCGTGCAACCTTCTTTGCGGGTACAGCAGTGAGACGTCCTGGCTTGGCAGCAAGGTAGGGTACGTAGTCGTTCACGGTCAGTGGGACCACTTTACCATCAGGTTTAACGAAATAGGGGTCCTCACCCTTTGAACCCTTCCATATGAAATCGTAACCATCGTCAATGCATCTCATTCCTACGGAAAGTACGGCAGGAGTGCTTTTGACTAGGTATGGATCTACCGTCTTACCCAATCTGGGGACGAAAACCTTTCCTTGTTTCATGGATGAACTTTCACCATTAGCAGTCATCATTCGTATTGGATTGGATGAGTAGTACCCATAATCATCAGGCAATTCCCCTTGAGATACCAGATCTTGGGCACTGCCTGTGTCTGCAATCCAATCGAGCTGCAAGTCGATCGAACCTTCAATCATTTCCCTTGATTCGGCAGGGGCAGCAACAATGCCTTTCGGAATGCAATAATCACAACCAAATTCGGTATCGCATTCGTAGTTACATTTGGCTGTGATTCCCTTCAGAGAGTTTTCAACAGCACCCGAAAGCATAGTGGCAGACAATGCACTATCATTAACGGCCTGTTGGTCAACATCAAACCTGTGGCCCCATGGATAAGTGGTTCGCTTCTTTGGTTCGCCATTTACGATTGGCCACATGTTCCCACGGGCTGCAATCCGGTGCACATCAACTTCATCGGAGAAGCGGATGCCAATGCTGGGACAGCATACCTTCATGGGATCGACTGCAAAACCACTGGCCACGGATGCAAGCATTGATGCTACCAAACAAACCGCTGCTGGAGTTGCCTTACCACTGCTAGAGCTATTCTTATTCCCCTTTGGCGATCTGGAGTTTCGTGGGCTCTTCTGCTTGCCAGGGCTTCTTGATGACTTTCTGCCGGGACTTCTAGATGTCTTCTTACCCCCTTTCTTTCCACTTGAATTGGATCTTGCGGGAGTAGCTTGTCTGGGCTTCCCAGCAGGGCCATTGTGCGAAAAATTGCACTTGTCACCCCGCTCACAACGTCCCCTCTTCCAGAAAATGCATTCCTTTTTCTTCCCCTTACCTTTGGGTGATTGGGTTCTAGATGGCGATCGTCCACGACTTGAATCCCTTTTGGGTTTGGTGGAAGGAGTTCTCTTGGATGGAACCTCATGTTTAAACGTGCAATTCTCATTGGTGCATCCTCCCTTGTTCCACTTAACACAGTAACCCCGTGGGATGAAACCTACCTTTCCTTCGACAGCGGGTGCGGAAGGCTTGGCAGTACCTGAAAGGTTCCGAGCGACCCTCTCTCGGTTGGTCTCCAGGCGTTCACGATCCAGGTGCCTGCGCACAGCGGAAACAAGGAAGTCATATTTTCTTTTCTCTGTGCCTTCGTCTGCTCGATGGTACTCGTTCAAATCATGGGCTATTGCTTTGCAGTTCTTGACCTGATTATAGAACAGTGTTTCCAGTACTGACTCCTCAGGAACTTTCACAATACCTGCTAGCACCTGGTCCCAATTCGAAATGAATGTCTTGAGGTTCTCTCCCTTTAGGTGGACACTAAACAGATCCTGAAGGGCGTAGGTTGAGCCATGTTTCATGTTTGTACTGAAATGGTCGTGTAACATGAAAAGAACTTGGCGACCCCTCACGATTCTCCCCTCATTGGCTTCGGTCTCCTTGAAAGTGTCAACCTTTCGGGCAAAATCCCCCGTGATGATGTTGGTTAGAGCTGACAGGAGCTTGGCATCTAGTGTTGCAAACGGCGCCACCTTCCGGAGGGCTTCAATAGTCTGTCCTTCTTTCCAAACCTCTCCAATCCATGCAAATGCTGAATCTGGGTTGGTCGATGCTGCGACTATTGCCTCTCGGGTTTTGATGCGCCAATTTCTGTATGTCTCCGGACCTGGGATGGCCGGAAGCTTGATGGTATCTGCTTCCTTGACCTTGGGCTTCTCATCCTGGCCGCTATGGTTGAAACCACCCCCCAAAAACTTCTTCATACGTCGAACAAACTTTTCATCACTGTCATCGGAATCCTTGTCAGGGTCATCACCTCCCCCTCCTCCATCACCGCCTGATGCCTTCTTCTTATCTTTCTTTTTATGGGCTTCGGGCATTGGCGATGGAGATGGGACAGGCGAGTCATCATGATCGTCCCCATCATCCCCATCGTCCCCCCCTCCAGGTCCTCCATTTCCATTTCCCCCTGCATTATTGCCATCATTGGGACCTTTATTCGGTTTATGACCAGTAACCCCATACGGCACAGTACGACCAGACATTGGGGTATGATCTCCCGAGGCATTGTTCATGGGAACTTGGTTTGATGGACCTGGGGTAGGACCTTTCTCGCCTTCTTACAGTATGTGATGTTGATACCACCTACTGGGATTCGGCCTATGACCATCTCCTCAACTTCTCCGTCGGTATTGCCAGCATACGGGCCGGCCAACATCGGAGGAGCGGTATATGGTGGGTTCACTGTCTCGGCATGGAAAGGGTCAAGGGACGGATGCACGGAAGTGGCCGGAGAGCCAACTGTACATGCCGGGATCGGGGCTGAAATGACATACGGTTCCGCCGTCCTAGTCAAAGTCGCGGTTTCCACAACTTGGACAGGAGGTGGTTGCGACAGCTGAGAGTCCAACATACTTTGGAGCTTTTGGTTGTGAAGACTCTGTTGCATCACAAGCTCTTCGAGCCTTTTGATGCGTTCTTCCTGAGCTCGCTCCTTTTCGGCGGCCTGACTTCGGAGGCGTTCAATCTCGCACTCCTTAGTGGCCATTGATTGACGGAGGTTAGCGTCCAAGATTCTCTGGTACGCCTGAACCTTTTCTGTACACTGAGCCTCATGGGCACAGACATGCTGAACGGCCTCACTTTTGATGTTTTCCTCATTCTCCCGCAGAAACATCCTTGCCTGATTGATCTCTTGAGCTTCGCGTTTTTTTTGGTGTTTCCTTCAGACTTCCAGTCAAAACTTCGTGACGGTGATTGGCCTGAGCTTCCGCTTCGGCTATTGCCATGCGGTGACGCGCTTCGGCTGTCTGCTCAAGCATCTCCGTATATGCCGGATCATGAGTCTGAATGAGTACCTTGTTGTTCTGCACAAAGTGTTGCTGATCAATAATCACACGTTGGTCGTGGTTTACATTCATTTGATTGAACACTCGATTTCCAGAACTTCCAGTACCATGAACGCTCGGCCCACCCTCCCGGGCAGCGGCTGGCAAAACACCTCGGTGCGAGAATCCTGAGTTTTGTGGCATCATTGCGACAGCCTCAGTGAGAGATGTTCCACCTGCCCGCTGGCTCCTTGATCTTTCGGAGCTTGGGGGAGTACTTATGTCGATCGTCTCCAGGGAGTCAACAATAGGTAACACGGGATTGGCCATGGCACGAAATACACGGCAAGGGAAAAACCCGATACCTCACGATGGAAGCAAACGTGAGAAAAGCTACCTATGGGGAAAACTAGGCTATACGGCTGATAACCTGTATTTACTGGTTAAGCAGCCTGAAACACTCAGCTTTTTCTTGAGCCATGCAACAGCGTATTATGAGGATTATAACTATGTACATATACTAGTACTACCTATAAATAGTTTCAATTTGGCTATATAAACCATCTACTCAATCGCCAACAAAAAATAGAAAAACGTCTTGGGAACGCAAAAAAAAATGTGTTTCCCGCACAATTTCCAGGTGTCCAAGTCTTCATCTATAGAATCATTTGGGCTGTAAATAAATTGTACGATTCTGCGGCATGATTGGCATTTGATGAGTATAATACTCATCAAGAATCTCCATCACTCCTTTTTCTCCAAAATGGCAAATGTTTACTCAAAAAATATATGCGTTTCCCCATTTTTTAAAAAATTCTCCGGCTTTTCCCCATACTTTAAAATTCTGTTCAGCCATCTATTCGCATCTATTCTGATGGTTCCACCAGATCCCCCAGGGTTTTTCTCCCACCATCCCCCATGCCCGCCGTGGAACCGCTTGCAACGAAGCGTTTGGCCCAAAGATCTGGTTGTGTCCCATGGAGTTCAGCGCCTGCGGGGGCATCCGCTTCAGCATCCCTTGCGCCTGAGATCTTCTGGGGATCGCGAGCGGGTGAAGATAACACGAAGTTCACTGGGACTTATGATAGATAGCTATGTGTGTATATATATATATACTCCATATATATATATATAATTATATAATCATGTATATTTCCATAAATGGTGGTATCCAAAAATGCTAGGTTTATAATAGAAAATCCCATTAAAATGGATGATTTGAAGGTACCCCTATTTCAGGAAACCACAATATATATATATATGTATAACGAGTTCTTGGGTTTATAAACTTATAACTGGGCGGAACACCACATTGTGAGATCTCAGTGAACGAACCTTCTTGTACCTGGGATTTTCATGGGGAAAAGAGCCATGTTTTTGTGGTACCATCGTGATTTTTGTGTTGTTTGGCAGCGGCAATGATGATAAACATTGCCATTTCAAGCTGATGAAAATGATGGGAAATCGAATTGAATGGGTTTTATGATGTTTTATGATAATGTCGATCTTCTTTCAAATAGCAGTGACTGTGTGTGTGTGGGGTAGTCCAAGAAAAATTAAGGCTATACATTATAAATGGTGCAAAACAACCAGGTGATCATCTACCGTCCAGTCACTTCGATTTGATGAGGACACCTGGAGCCAAGAGAAATGATCCACAATTCTGGTGATTTGTCCATATCTATGTTAATCTAGTGGAGGATAAAGTTTGCTATGGCCATTTTCAATTGAGAAAATGATTACAAAACTCAGAGTACCCTACAAATCATACTAGTACATCATGACTTGTATCATCATGTTCCACCTAAAAATGATATTGTTGGATATATATAATTATATATATACCCCATTTCTGGCAAAATCCCGGAATGTCCTCATCCTGAGCACCAAAAGCGCAAGAATCTCTTGACGAACATGATGTTTGCTGCTTCTGAGTTGGTTTTGTCATGATGAAAGAAAAAACATTGCTCTTGCAGCAACCATTTTTCTTCAAACACTCCAGCCAGTACATTCAGAAGAAGGCAGGGCAGCCCCAGAACGGCTATTTGAATGAATCTTGGATAGGTCAATTGCTGAGACAGCTCCCCTCGCCTCATACTCCTCAGTGTAGAGCAACCTCTCCAGAGTGTCTTCATCTTGCTTTTGTTCAGCAAGACATTCTCTCCTGACCCTCTCTATGAGTGAAAGCGTCCACTCACTACCTCAGATGAACTGTGTCATGCCAGGGCTGCAGGACACTGGTTTCACTCTCGCCAAAAGCATCAAAGGCTCTTCAAATCTCACAACAAATCTGCTACTACCTTTCTCCAAAGAGTCTCCCAGTTCTTTTCCTATCCATGTTCCCAAGCAACAGCTTCCCATGGATGGGAACCCATCCAACCATCCCAACACCATCCCAACGTGGGATCTACCAGTTTCTACCAGAAGGCATCGTAGCAGCATCACACCCACATTACCATCGTCCCAGGGCGCTCTGGGATCCTGGCACATCCAGAGGTCAAAATGCTGGCTTTCGAATGGAAAAAATCCCCGGAAAAAAAGGGATGAGAACCGGCAAATTGGGCCCAAAATTTTCAGACACCTCCAACGTCCAAAGTCTCCAAAGTCCTAAAAAACAGCCAAAAGCCTCTGGCAGCCTCTGAGTCCCGGGCCAGAAATGAATCCACTTCCCTGGTGAGCATAATCTGAGTGTTGCTATCCGAATACTTCCTGATGGCCTCGGATGAACAAAAACATGGCGAAAGGAGGATTGCGGATCAAGAACATCTATCATTGCTGTTTACCAAACAAAAAAATCTCCAGAAAATCCGAAATCATTGATTTTTTTGCACCTATTCAAACATCATAAAAAAATATATAAAAATTGTGTTTTTTTACCATTAATAAACTGATCCACCAGTCACCTTCCGCACTTGATTGAAGTTATCCTCTTGCGCCAGCAGAAAGGCGTCGGAGTCCTTGGTTCCAACGGTTCCAACTCCCCAAAAGGATGCAGAAAACGTAGGAATTTACATCGAAAAGTAATAGAATGTCACTATTTTAGGATTGGATTTGACCAACTTCTATCTTAACTTGGGGCTTGTTTTGGAGAGGATATAACTGAGATCACTATGAGATAACTATACTGTTCATGGGCTGAATCTAAACCTTACCTTACGTAGCTGCCTGGGCTCACCTGGCGTGATTTGGTTGGTCAAAAGCCTGGTACCCAAATGGTACCCTAAAATCGCTGGTTAATGGATGGTTATTCCCCAAAATATGGAGCTGTCCCAATTCATGGGGCTACCCCCAAATGATCGAAACTTAGACCATTTTAGTATTGAAACCCATGGTTTCGGGGATCCCCCATTTTAGGAAACCCCAATATGGTATTAATGAAATAGTAGGTTTTGACCCATCCCCATTTAAATCGCTTTGTTGATGTTTCAAAAAAAACTCTTGGCATATTGACAACTGGATAAAAATCAGCAGTAAAAAGTTGGGAGGCAAGCACAGTAGTTGGCGGCCGGAGCCCAAATAGGTTTGAAGTCTTTTGGTATACTGAGGTACTAAGACATAATCTATAATAAGTCATAATAATACAAGGCTGTGGTTGTCCCCCCCTGGCCTGTCATATAATACCAGCAGGAATGGCCCTCAGAGAGAATTCCCCGTTTCCCCGTCACAGTTTTGCCGAAACAATGTTGTACACCCAATCAGAAACCATCCTTCTCAACCAGCCATTTGGGCGTCATTCTGCATCATCCCAACTAGAGGTATTCCCAATAATCAAGCTCTATTAGGGATGGTTTATTGTTGCTTTTACTACGTTAAAACCCAATCATAAACCATCCTTGGTAACCAATTCACCCAATCCCAAAATTGATTAACCCAATTTCAGCGGCCAAACCAGGAAAAAAACATTAAACTGTGCTTCTCATGATCTTGATCCTGCATCATTTCCATATGATTTTATGAAGTATTTTTACAAATCTAATCATCCAAGAATGATATAAGATATGTGTCTGAAAGTGGGGTATACCCTCCAAATCACCATTTCAATGGGATCATGCTCATCAAAAAATCCTTCAGTTTCCCCTTCGGTAGATCCGTGGAAAATCAGCAATCGTTCGATGCTTTTCCCATCTATAAACCTCCCATTTATAGCGGATTTTCCCATGATTTTCCCATGAAAACCATCATTTCCTGGGCGTTTTCCGGCTTCTCCCAGGGAGCTCCGGGTTTTTTCCACGGCCCAGGCGCCAGCCACAGCATCCATTCGATGCCCTCGGCACGACATCTCCGGAGCCAGTGGGGGATCACCTCGACGGAAAGTTCCAGTGGGGTATCCCCATGTATCCATGGTATATGATATTAATGGGATACCCGATACCCCACTTGGGGATAAAATGGGGATACCATTGAAATCCATTCGATATATGGGATATCATCACTGTATCAATGTATAATATATAATTATAATTATATATATATATCTAATGGGATATCGATGATGGGATATTATCTAATATATATAAGTAGTGAGTAGGCATGATGCTAGGTTGATTGCTTCATTCTCACCACATCATATTTCCATCCACCATATCCATTTTTCATCCACCCATTTTCACCATCAAAAAATCCAATTCATCAACCATTTCCACCATATCATCAAACATTGTTCCAATCATCGTTCCATTCATCTTCATTTTTCATTGTTCCAATCTAATTTCCATTTCATGTTTCCATCATCTTCCCATTCATCTTCACTTTCATAGTCACAATTCATCAAATTCATTTCATCTTCATTATCATAGGGTTTTAGCAATCAACCTAGCATCATGCCACCTTGTAGAATTTTTCCTCAGGACAGGAAGTAAGTTTTCCTCAGGGCAAGGAGTAAGTTTCCTTCAGGTCAAGCAAAAATACTTATCTTACACAGGGCAAGTGAAAAGTCAAGTGAAAAATCCACTTAGGTCAAGTGAAAAATCCACTTGGGTCAAGTGAAAAATCCACTTGGGTCAAGTGAAAAATCCACTTGGGTCAAATGAAAAATCCACTTGGGTCAAGTGAAAAATCCACTTAGGTCAAGTGAAAAATCCACTTGGGTAAAGTGAAATTGCCAGTTCCAATAATTGAAACTGCCAGTTGCAAAAATTGCAAATCCCACTTGCAAAGGTGAAAACCACTGCAAAATATGGTGAAAATCCCACTTGCAGAAATTGCAAATGCCACTTGCAAAAATTGCAAATGCCACTTGCAAAAATTGCAAATCCAACTTGCAAAAAGTGAAACACACTGCAAAATATGGGGAAAATCCCACTTGCAGAAATTGCAAATGCCACTTGCAAAAATTGCAAATGCCACTTGCGACAGAGCATTTTTGGTGTTCCACTTTTGGTGGGTTTGGTGTTCCACTTTTGGTGGTTTTGGTGTTCCCCATTTGGGGTTTTTGGTGTTCCTCTTTTACAGGTTTTGGTGTTCCACTTTTCCCGTTTTTGGTGCTAAACAGCACCTAAATTGGGGGGTCTGGGGGTGTTCCACTTTTGGTGGTTTTGGTGTTCCACGTTAGGTATGGGCACTGATTGGGAACACCTTCAAAAGTCCTACAACCATGAAAACACTATGCCATAATTTCAGCAACTATGGCATAATCTTTTCAAATAAGAATGTTATTATTATTGACATCTTGTTTTTCCTTTCTGCGTTGTTTTTGTTTTTCCAGTAATTATTTGTTCTTTGCTTTGTTGGTAGTATTGCTTCTTCTGGTCTGCTTCCTTTTCTTTGTTTTCTTGGTGCCACTTCTTATTTCTTTCATTAATCCGTTCTTTATTATTTTGGTAGTATTGCCTTTTGCGTTCTGCTATTTTCTCTTTATCACGTTCTTTATTTTGTTGTTGGTATTTGATATTTCTTTCATTAATCCTTTCTTTATTATTTTGGTAGTATTTTTGTTTGCGTTCTGCTATTTTCTCTTTGTTATTTTCCCTGTATTCTTTATCTTTCTCTGCTATTTTCTCTTTATTCTGTTGGTAGTATTCTTTCTTTTTGAGTAAAAGTTGTTCCTTGTTGTTTTGGTAGTATTGGCGGTCTCGTTCTGCCACTTCTTGCTTATGTGTTTGGTAGTATTTTTGTTTTGTTTCTTTAATTTCGTCTTTGTGACTTTGGTTATACTGCTTTTTATGCTCTTGTATTTTTTGTTTATTATCATTATAATATTCCTTCCAGTTTCTACCACTTACTATTTTATTCAACTTGCTCTGATACTCTCTTATTTTTTCACCCTCCTTCTTGAGCAATTCACCTCTTGTTTGGCACGGATAGTCTTCAATGAGTTCAATGTAAAAGGCATCTTTGCCCAGTTCAGACATTGCTTGGTATAGTTTGTAGTGTTGCGCGCTCTTCTTGTTTAACCCATTCCTATGTTCTGCCATTCTTTGCGCTAATGTTTGGCAAGTGCTCCCAATATAAGTCAAATCATTAATTGAATTTCTGACTATGTAGATTTTGCCATTGCTGTAGTCCTTTTGTCTTCTGTTTTTTGCTACTTCTACTGCCATATTGTTTTATAATGATTATTAATGTTCATATATCTTTAAATGGAAATGGAAAAATACAAAAAAAAAACTATGCCAAAAACAAATTGAATTTGGCATACTCTTTTATACAATGATATATGCTTCATTGACATCCTTTTTGTATTTCTTAAAGTATTCTCTTCTGGTTTGTTTTGGTGGTTCTTCACTGGTGTTCTCATCTGCCTTTCTTTCTTCTTCCTTCTTTGCTTTCCTTCTTAAATAGTATTGTCTCTGGACGTCTGCTTTCTTTGCTTTATATTCTGGGGTTTCCTTAACTTTATGATAATACAGTCGTTGATACAATGCCATTTGTTCTCTAACCTCTTCAAGTGTTAAGTCTTCAGGTTTTCTAACGCTCATTATTAATATCTATATATTAATTCATTTCTTTAAATCTATATTTCTAATTTGTAAAATTTGGTCGAAAAAAATATTTAAAGAATTATCTAGGTTTTTATAATTAATGTTATGAAAAGAAATATAAGAAACAATATTCAAATCTTAAGGAACTTAAGAGACAACAAAAGAGGCAGAGTTTCAAATGAAATTCTGGCGAGAATAAATTTAGCGGTGGATTTATATGAGCAACGGAAAATAATCCAACTGGCAACCGCCGAAAATTTAATCAACAGCATTACCAACAGCACCCCAAGGCAAAGAGCAAACAGACTTAAAAAGTTTGATGAGAAAATGGAACAATATAATCAATCCCAACCAGCAGGGGCAAGAACAGCACAGAATGCCCAAAAAGCAAGAGAAGGCAAAACAGTTAAAAATGTAAGAATAAGATTGAGAGAAAAAACAAAGGCATCAGTAGTATCTAGATTGATGAAACAGGCGCAGTTGCGCGGAGTAGGCAACCGCAAGTTATACTCAATTGAATTCATGCTATACTCATTGGAACCCATAGGTGCCATAGTCAGAGGTAAGAAAATCAATAATCTTATCTATTATCCAATGTTTGAAAGAGGAAGACCCAGACAGGCAAGTATAAGAGCAGGGGAATTTGTAGAAACACTGACTAACAGAACAGTCACTAAACAACAAGAAAAACCCATGTTTAAGAAATTAATGATGTTTCTAAAGACTGATGGTGGGTTAAAAGATGCCATGCCGGATATGTTAGATTATGTAGATGCCATCCAACTAACTAAAGTTGAAAAAATTGAGGATGAGGGCAATAGACCCTACAATATAGAAGATGAGGGACTGAGAGAAACAGCGAATGTAAGCATCTACAACTACTATCATGAAACCCTAATAGATGTTGAAAAGGAAACCGTAAAAGAGGCAATACAACATAACAATCTAAGAGAGAATGAGTGTTGGATAAATGAACTACTTAAGACTTATGAAGGGTCTGAACTGATGAGAGAGAAGAGAGGAAAACTAGCAAAAACACTATCAAGAAACAAAATATTAGAGTTACTAAACAGGACTGAAGATGACATACATGAATATGGTATATCAATTAATGGAATGGAAACGGTGTTTAAATTCTTCAATATACCAGTCAAACTATACAACTTTCAGTGCCAGTTGATTTATAAATTTGAACCCAACGACTTCAAGAATGGAAGGAGGAAAACAATCTTCGTAGCAATCATTAAGAACAATCATGTTTATCCAATCAATGCCAATCAAGATAGATTATGTCAGTTGAAAGGAGGGGAAGACTATTCTTTTACAGCATCCAGTAACTTTTACATCACTGATAAGACTGAACCACCAAAATTCAAAATGTTTAGTCATATAGACGAACTACTGAAAATGATTGAACATGAAGAGTATAATTTAATTCATAAGGACAATAATTTAAATGAGGTATTATTCCAATTTAGGAAGGTAGGATATGAACCAATGGTCAAATACCAAGGCAATAGAATAGTAGAATTGAGGGCAAGATACACTGAAAAGAAAACTAGAAAAGTAAGAACTTACATTATCAAAACTCAGGACTTATCAAAGGAAATCATAGAAAGGGATGTCTATGCTGACACTGAAGAAAAATATAACAGAATTGTTGAGGCAATGTTTGATTTCAACAGCAAGGTCTTTTCAGAAAGTCATAAGTCAGATTACTCAGAATTAGATGTGGCAATACTGGATGAATGTAGGACAGTAGTCCCATCGGGTTATTTAGATAAACATGTTGATGTAAAACAACTGGTAGAGATTGATAAAACAAAAGCATTCACATGGGCATTTACTCAGATAAAAGAAATACCGGTGTTTAGTGAGTTTGATGATTGGATGAAATGGAATGATACAAAGATAGAAGATTTGAATTTATACATGGTTGAAGTTTATTCATCTAACATCTTCTTCAATAAGAAGTATAATTTAATATACGGAAAGTTCTTAACAACAATGATTGAAAACAAAACAGATTTAAAAATCATTTGCTATAAAAAAAACCCTACTATAGACATAAGGTGAATTACAGTGAGGTAGTGGATGAACTAAATGAAACAATGTTAAGTGATGACATTGAAGAAGACACAAGTAACAAAAAAAGAATAGCGAATATCACCTTTGGAATGCTAGAGAAGTCCAGTAACACCGCACAGAGAAGTTACATATTTAATTCATTGAGGGAAGCAATCCATTATCAGAGGCAAAGTGGAGGAAGGATATATGCCATCCAAGAAAATAAAGAAGATGAAGAAGGCAACATTACAAAGGGTGAAACATGCTATATCTTAAATGTTACTGATAGAACAAAACTGATGAACGGTTTTAGAT